TTTCAAGCAGCCCAGGGAGGAAGTGACACCCCTTCTCCAGTCAGGCAGGCCAGGTGGTCTGCAGGTGCTGTTCTCTGAACCCCTCACTGTGCTCTCACTCTCCTCTGGCCCTTTGCATGGCCAGGTATCCCTGCCTAAGACACACTCCTCTATCTCTCCCTCCCCTGCATGGCCTACCATCCGAGAGGTCTCAACTAGGACACAAGACACAGCTTCCCCAGAAGTCTGCCCCCGCACACGCTCACACACTCTCTTTTCATGGGGCCCCCACAGCACTGGTCCTGGTATTTATGGAAGTGCTTAACACACTGCATTATGAATGCCATGTTTGAGTGCCTGGGGGCTGGGACCATGTCAGATTCTGTTTTTGTTTTATTTCCACTGCCTGGTCTCCATTTGATCATTTACTCAACAGCTGTTTATTGAACACCCATGAATCTGCCAGGCACTGTTCTAGATGCAGGCAACATGGAGGTGAACATGACAGAGAAGTTCTCTGCTCTCATGGAGCTTCCACCTTAGTTGGGGAGGGAGAGACAACCAGCAAGCAAGCAAGCAAATGCTCAAAATGGAAACAGATCATTTCAATGAGGCTAAGTGCTATACGGGAAAGAAATCGTGGTGATGTAGCTGAGAGCTTGGAGAGCCTGGAGGGGTCAGAGAATGCCTCTTGAAGGAGGCAGTATTTAAGCTGAGACAGGCAGAAATCTGGGGGAGAATATTCTAAGTAGAGGGAAGATCTGAAGAGCTTCCCCCAGGGTGGCATGGTGCCCTGCCACAGCAGGATGAAGGCTGATTCAAAGGAGCAGTGGGAAGAGCTGAGGTCGGAGAGGCAGGGAGAAGCCCTAATTTTGCAGAATTTCTGGCCATGGCAAGGAACCCAGGTTTTATTCAAATTACAATAGAAAAGTGACGTGACCTTATTTAAAATCTTCAAAGATCACCCTGGCTGTTGTAGAATGGCTGGTAGGGAACAAGAGGAGGCTTGGATTGGGAGACCAATCACGTGGAGGAGACTGTGGCAGTCATGGATGTGGAGAAGAAAGGACAGACTTGGACATATTGAGTTGAACTTATAGGACTTGGTGAATCTCATGTGGCTTGGAAGAAAAAGGGGGGAACCCGGGAGGCCTTCTAGTCTTGGGAGTCTGAGTGTGTGCTGGTGCCAGTTTTGAAGATGGGACAGATCAGATCAGGGTGGGGACAGAAAGCAAAAGTCTTGTTTTGCCTGTGTCAATTTTGAAACGCCTGGTAGATATCTAGAAGAGATGACAAGTAGATATGAGCCTGTAGCTCAGTGGAGAGGTCAGAGTTGAAGATGCAAGTGTAGGAGGCATCGACATGCAGATGGTTTTTAAAGCCTTGATGAGATCATCCAGGTAAAGCGTATTTAGAGAATAGAGAACAATGACCAGGCCCCGACACATGACGACATTTAGAGGTTGATTGAAACCAACAGAGGGGCCTGAGATGGTCAGAGAGAGAAAGAGAGAAGAAAAGTAGGAAGATGGTTTTCCTTGAAACCAAGAGAAGAGAATGTTTCAATGAGACTGAGCCAACCATTCCAGCACTGCTGGTACAGCCAACACATTGGCAGAGAAGTGACACAGGCTTCAACAACATGAAGGGTGCTGGAGATCTTGACAAGGCAGTTTTAGTGGAGTGTTGATAATGGAAGCCCAACGTGGGTGGGGGGGGGGTGGTTATGGAGAGAATGAGGGTGAAGAAGTAAGAGCACTGGATAGGGAGATCTTCCTAAAGAAATTTTGCTGTGCTGGAGAGCAAGCAATTGGAGCAGTAGCTACTGGAGAGAAGGGGCATCAAGGGGAAAATTTTTTAAATTTATTTTTGTTTTGATTTTTGCTTTTAAAGAGATGGGAGCTCCTAGAGCATTTATGTGTGCTGATGGGAAAGATCCTGTGGAGAGGGAAAATTGTGATGGAGAGGGTACGATCATAAGAAAATTTCATGAGCAAAGATCTTGAGAAAGAAATATGGGATCTATAGCTCAAGACAGAGTTGGCTTTAGACCGGAATTGGGGTGAGTAGATGGGTACAGATGCAAGTAGGCTTATAGTTTTAGTGATGGGAGAATGAAGAGATTCCTTCTAGCATTTTATACTTTCTCAGTGTAATACAGGACAGAGTGATCAGCTGAGGACTAAGTGGCATTTGAAGACAGAGAAGGTAGAGTGAAATGGCAGAGAGGTATAGGGAGGACGCCATGTTGGGCGCCCATTTGAGAATTCTGTTAGTTGAGTGTGATCAGTCACCATGGTGCATGTTTCTCTCAGCCACACTCAGCCACACAGGTGCAGGCATAGAGGAAGCAGAAGTTAAAATGCATGGCTTTTGGACAACCCAGGGTTTGGGCCTGACCAAGCGGATGAAGTCTCTTCAATGTTCCCACTGATCTTGGCCTCACTGACAAAGAAGCCTATGCCGTCACTGCCAGCCCCCACCATGTTCAGCACTCAAAAGAATGTCAGCCCTTCCAATGTCTGGGGGAACTACCTGGGGGCGGGATAGAAGGGTGAGATCACTGTATGGAATGCTCATTCCTGCGCCCCCAACCTCCTCACCTCCCTGCTCCGGCATGACGTAGACGAATCACACCCATGTGGTGGACCCAGGAACACAAAGATAACACAGTGTCGGGCTGGGTCCTGGCCCCTGACAAACAGGCTGCCCTGGGACCCAGCCCAGCCACAAAGAACTTCTCAGAGGAGTTTTATTGGGGTGCATGTGTGTGTCTCTCTTCTTCACTGTCAGGCACCCACTTGCCTCCGGAGAAAGGGCTCCTTCATTCCTGGGGTTAGTCATCCACCCCTGCGCAAACAACGGGCCCTTTCCACAGCTTTCTCACCCACCCTGGGCCAGGGCCTAGCACAGTCGCTGGCACAGAAAGGTGCTTCATAAATTCTTATTGGGTACGTGAATGAATGGACACATCAAAGCAAGCATCCATCCAAGGCAGGAAAACCCTTGCCTTTCGCCTGGTCAGATTGAGCAGCCCCTCTGTCATCTCTTCCCGGCAGTGCCGCCTGGATGAATAAGACCAGCTCTGGCAGAGCAGGAAGGTCTCCAGGTTCAAAGGAAGAGCCCCCTGAGAGGGGAGGGCAGAGAGAGTTCTCAGGGGCTGAGGAAAGAAAGAAAGCCTGTCCCTTCCCTGAGTCTAGTACAAAAGGGCCCGGTGTCACTTCAGTTCTGGACACTGTGGTGGGCATCAGCTTGACTGCCTTCTCCCGTGACCTTCTGGTCATAACCTCTTGGAGGCCAGAGCAGCCTCTGGTACATAGGCCCTGGCTCCACACCAGCCATAGGGAGGCTCTCGACCTCAGGCTGAGGGCCCTTTGAGCAGAATGACCGCCTCAGAGACTACAGGGCCAGGAGGTCAGCCAGTCAGGGATTGTACCAAGAAGGAATCGTCATTTCCAGCAGGGCTCCCAGGCCTCGATCCAGCTGAAAGAATTGCTGAAGATGACCTACCCCTGGGGGTCCGAGCCTGAGGGGAGATGGGCCGTCATGACCGTTCTCCTGCTCCTCTATCTGTTCCCACCTCTCCTTTGTTGCCAGGATTCTCCTGAACACCCTGGTCACCTACGTGAGAAATGGAAACCGCAAGTGGCTTTCTGGAGAAATTCTGAGCAGTCAACCTCAGGGAATACTCACCAAGCCCTCTGGGAGGGGTTCTCGACCTGGCTGGGAGCCAGGAGAAAGAGTGAAACCAAGAGGGCTGAGGGCCCAGAAGTGGTGCAGGTGAGGGGTGTCCGCACCTGGCTCCGGGCTCCTGCTGAGGTGCTGGGCAGGAGCAGGCCTCAGCTGCTAGGGCCAGGCCCAGGGATGCTTGAGAGAGCTGGTGGCCTGGCTGTGGCTGGTGAGAAAGGAGCCACTGCAAATGTGAGGGCTGAGAGTAGAGCACACCCTGCCTAGCAGCACCCCTGCCAGGGAAATATCACTCATGAGAAGGCCTTCGAGGAGCTTCCAGGGTGGAAGCTTGCACCTGCCAAGCAAGGAGGTCCTATGGGTGAGCCTGGCGATCCCTTCAGTAACCGTATTAGTATCCTGGGGGCAGCCGTAACAAGGCACCACAGATTCAGGCTTAAACAACAGAAATTCGTTCTCTCACACCTTTTAGCCCCATAGGAAGATAAAGGTGTTGGCAACGTAGGTTTCTCCTGAGGCCTCTCTCCTTGGTTTGCAGATGGTTGCCTTCTCACTGTGTCCTCACATGGCCTTTCCTGGTATGTCTCTCTCTTCTCACAAGCGCACCAGTCATTGGCTGAGGGCCCACCCTTATGACCTTACTTAACCTTCATCACCTCCTTAAAGGCCCTCTCTCCAAATATAGTCATGTTCTAAGGTACTGGGGGGGTGAGAGCTTCAGCATATGAATTTGGGGGGTACATAGTGGCTATGGGAAGGCTATCGTGACTGTGACTGTGCATGTCATGGAACAATTGACTGCTGGGCCAGTTCCACATATACAGCAGGCCCACTTCCTTTGACTCACCTCATTTTTCCCAGAACCTTGGAGAAGAACAGCCATTATTGGCCCATTTGATGGACAGGCTAAAGCAGAGCAGTAAAGGGGCAGCCCTGGAGCCTCGGTGTCCTGGGTGCTCCTCGTCTACTGTCCTGTGCTTTCCAGCAAGGTCATGTCTGAAGATCTCACACCACCCAGCTGGAAGAGCCTCCAGCAACCTGCGTGCTCTCTACCTGTATGATGTAGGAGGAAACTGAGGTGGCAGCCTGCTCCCTAGAGGTGAAGTGATTCATGAGGCCCATAAGATTACTAGCTGATGCCATGTCTTATCTCCTTGACTCACTTCACTCAGGCTCTGACAAGCTCAGTGATTTGCTAAGGGTCAGACAGGTCCTGGCACCCAGAGGGCAGAGCTTATCCCCAGTCCCCCTAGAGGTTCTTTGCAGGCTTCTGGAAACTCTCCTGAGTAGGTCTCTCTGGGGTGGGCCATCCTACCAAGGCTCCACCCTGACAGCCTCTGCCCCTGCTCTCCGGGGGTCTTTGTACCTCCCATGCCTGAGAACTCTGTATCCCTGGGCCTCACCCTCATCCCTCCATATGGGTGTGAAGGGGCTCAGCTCACCGGGGTGGGGTGGGGGGGCTCCTGTGGAGGGATGAGGGCTGTGGCAGGCAAGGTCAGGTGTGAAAGGCAGCCAGGAGGCCAGAATGCCCAGTCTCCAGGACACTAGCCAGTTTGTCAGGGAAGCCATAAGAAGTGCTTCTTTGAGTTGGCCCTGCCTGGTCCCACCTAGTAAGGAAGCTTGACCAGCTGCCCTTTGTTCATGGGCTAAGGCCTTACTTTGGTTTCCTGTTGGAAAGCTTCATCTAGATACTTCCAAGGAGCTCAAGCTCTCTGGTGTCTTCCTCTGTGGCCATGGCAGATGAAAGGCCAGAGGGCAGATCTTTCCCTAACCTGGCCATGGCAGGTGAGGGGTCCCTGGGAGGAGCACCATGGCCTAGAGATCTGCTGGGTTTTGACTGTCAGCTTCTTCCAGCCAAGCAAGCACTAGAAGGTCCCCATCCGCCACTTTGGGTTTAATGGTGGCTCCAGAGGTCTTCCTGCCTGACCGTAGCAGCCTGTGAGTCCATCCACAACCGCCAGGTGGCTTGGGCTACTTAGGATCTCTTCTAATCAGCACCAGCATTAAGGCCCATCCTCACTGAGGCCAGCACATAGTGACCAAGAACGGTCCCTTAAAGATCCTTTCATTGACTGTGGAAAATGGAGCCAGAGAACCCACTTGCTCATGTCACGGTGCCACTGGGTTTGTCTTAATTGCTGCTGCGTCCCAAGCTGACCATAGAACCTGGAAGGTGGTGGAGTTGAATCAATAAACAGATTCCCCAGACAGTTCAAATCCCCTTCTCCTGGCCCCACCCACCAGGGGTCACCGTCAAGGACTTGAGATTCAGTCCATCCATCGGGGCAGGCACGTGGGGGACACCTCTCCATTATCACCAGGAGCCCACAGTGGGTTGTCTGCATGGGAAGAGACTGTAGGTCTGACCAGGGGCATTGCTGTGAGCGTCGGGCTTTTCAGGAAATAAAGAGGCATTGATTGTGTGAGACCTCTTGGCAGGTAATTGAAACTGCCTGATTCCCCTCAGACCAAACCCCGAGGTGCCCCGGGCTGTGAGCTGGCACGGTGGTTAAAGGCACTGACTGGGGCCTGGCCGGACTCCAGCAGGAGCAGCGTGGGAACGTGGCCTTCAGCCCCTGCTGGGCCCCATGTGGGGGAAGTTGGCCACCAGGTGGGGGAAGTCATCCAGGCCCGAATACCAGGGCCGTCTCTGATGGGCACTTCTGGGCAAACCAGGCTTCAGAGGGCCCCACAGCAGCCGCTGCTCCTGTGCCACTTGTCCCTCCACGTGGCTTCCTAGGACTGCCTTTTGGTGGCCTTGGGGACTCACGGGAATTCCCTCACTCCCACATGGGGATGTGGCCATGGCAGCAGGGCTGAGCAGGGTGTACGCCTCACAGGGACAACACCTGGCCTACCTGGAGGAGGCGGGGTTAGAGCAGAGCGAGTCCTGTGATGGCACCAGCCTGTCCTGTGTTTCTCCACACCGTTGACCCACCAGTGACTATAAGGTGGGTACAGGGGGCCAGGGGGTGCTCACGTCTAGGGGTAATGAGTGGCTGGCCTGGCAGGCAGCGGTGGCCACAGATGGGCTTGTTCTGCCGCATGTTCTTGGTCTAGCCTGGCTGCTCCAGAGCCTGAGGCCGAGGCCGCAGGAAACCTGCCTTTCCTGTCCAGCCCTCCTGGCCCCTGTCAGGCACCCTGGATGAAGGCAAGGCGCTCTCACCAGCTCTCACATGAATCTCTCTTGGGTTGGGTTCCCAACAAACAAGATCTTGCCCAATGGGGCCCACTCACTTTTTTCTTCTTCTCTGCCTGGTTCCAAGGAAAATGGTAGACAGTCTCGGGTTTGCATTCTGGCTCTGGCTCTCCCTAACCGAGGCTTGGGGCAAAGCCATTTATTTTCTCTGAGCCTGATTTTCTCATCTGTAAAACAGAGTGGTGGTTGTGAGAATAATTTGAGAAGCTATAGACAAAAACACCTGGCACATTGGGGGCTGTTTGTGGTTGATAGTTCCCACCCCCCACCTCCCAGTCCCCAGAGTCCTGAGCCCTGAGTTTGCCTGTGCCCCTTGGCCTGATCCTGCTAGATGTCACCTTGCCCAAAGCCGGGCCAGACTTCTGAAGCCCTTGCTCTTGGCCCTTTCCGTCCCCAAGGAGCTGCTCCTGTGCGCTCCTTGGGACTTGCCAGGCTACGTCTCACCTCCCAGCCTCATGCTGGCGTTGAACCTGCTTGAATGGGGCGGCCCTTCCCCTGGGCGCATCTTTCTTGTTCCTGCAGGCCCCTCTCCTCCTGGCTGAACCAAACCTTATCAGGGTACACTTCTGAGATGGCGGCTCCCTGTTACTGACTGGGGAGTGTCTGTCCTGTGCACTAGCCAGTCCCTGGGGCTTATGGGGGCGCCCTATCCACACCTGTGCTGGAAATCTGCTGCTTCTCCACACCTGACCTGGCTTTGATCAACCCGACCGCAATGTCCTGCCCTCTGAGGGCTTCAGGACAATAACGCCAGCATGGTCATGCCTCCTATCAGCTGGGATCTGAAGGGTTTCATGCCCAAGATTGCCAATAAACCCTCCCAACAGCATCCAGATAAGTATTACTATTCTCACTCACAGAGGAGGAAATGGAGGCCCAGAGAGGTTAAGTGACTTTCCTGAGGTCACTCAGCTAGAAAGTGATCAGTCAGGGATTTGACCCTAAAGTCCATGCACTTTCCACTGAAGGGAGTGCTTCCTGGCAGGGGGAAGGAAAAGGTGTGGAGCTATCTCAGGGGCAGTCATGGGCAGGGGCTCTTCCCCTGGGGTCTGGCTATGCTGTCAAAAATAGACAACAGCACCTCTAGCCTTGGAGGTCCATCTTCAGAAGTCCCCTCATCTTTGGGGCTTTAGTGTCTGAGGGAGACTTCCCTCCACAACTTCCCATGGTGAGGAGCCCCTCCTCCCACCCACCAAAGCCTATCAGCCTGCCTGCCTCTCTGCCTGACTCCCCTTGCCCCAGCCCCGTGTTCTGGTTCCACCCCATGCAAAGGGGACTAAAGGTGGGATGGGAGGCTCCCAAGTCAGGTTATTTTATGGGCTCAGGGGCTGCCTGCCAAGACCCAGGATGTGGCAGAAATACTTCATGGCTTCTATCTAGGACTTTGCAAACAGATAGATCTGGATTCATATAGTGGCTCCAACATTTCTTAGCATGACGCAATGAGAAATTTATTTGGCCTCTCTGAGCCTCTGTTTTCTCATCTGCAAAATGGGTGAATGCAAGGATTAATTACTGAAAAGAAAAGAATAGGATTAAATACTGAGGAGAGAAGATGGCATTTGGTATTGTGCTCGGCATATAGTAAACGCTCAATAAATGGTGGTAGTTATTATTAACATTCCTCTGGATTTGGATATTCTGGGTGAAGTCATCTACTTGGCACTTTAAGAAACTTCTGGATTTCCTCTCTGTATGGAGATTTCACAGTTGGGGGGGCTGAGATCAAGGGCCATTCACTAGATAGGGGAACCTGCTGTGGGATCAGAAAAGCCCTCAGTGTTGAGCATCTGTAGGGACAAGAGAGACAGTGAAATCATAGTCAGTGGCAGTAGCCCATCTCCTCCTGGGGCCTGAGCCCTGCCCCCTCCTCCATCCCTCTGCTCACTTGCAGCCTTACCCCCTGGCTCCAGTGAGCAGGATGGTCTCAGCAGCATGAGCCTTGAGGATGTGATGAAGGCAGTCTCTGCTCTGTGGTGGTTGTGGAAGGCCTCCCTGCCTCTCATTGCTCAGACCAGAAGGGGCAGGACCCAAGACACAGCAAGACCGGGAGGGAGGAGGGCCTTGGATGCTAGGGTTGGGAGGAGGCTGGGCTTTATGCAGCAGGGTTTGGGGGCTAAGGCGAGAGATCAGAAGGAAGCCAGCAGCTGGCTGGGTGAGGGAGCCATGGGGTAGGAAGTCTTTCCCCAGGCCTACAGCTTGTGCTCCATATCTTTGGAGCCACCATAACAGGGCTGCTAGACAGGATTGTGGCTGGTTACCAAGCCTGCCTGGAGGGTGGACATAGGTCCCCTGGGAGCCAGGCCCCAGCACAATTGTGCTCTCCAGCAGGAAAGCTCTCAACTGGTTTGACTTGATTTCCAGAGCTCCCCGGCTTGGGGCTGGGACCTCAGAGAGAGGGGCTAGGGAAGACAGAGCTTTTGTCTGCATAAAAAAAAAAAAAAATGGTAAGGGGAGGATTTAAGAGCTGTCTACTGGTGGACAAAGTCAAGGGCCTGCAAGATTTCCAGCAAATGGACCCATCCCAGAGGTGGCCAGGCATTCCCACTCACATGCCCTGGCGGCTGTGCTGGTCACAGCATGGATACAAATTACATGTTATTAGAACAGTCCGGATGATGAAGTCACTGCAGCTCTAATCCTATTTATTTCAATGACAGCTTTGGCAGAGCAGTAAATCTTGCTGCCAACCCTGTCTCTTGTGGCCAGTTCCCCGAAGGAGCTACTGTCAGACGTGACTACAGGGAGGGGTCCTTGTCGGAGCCATAATTCATATTACCTTTTTCCTTCAAATGGAAAATTCTTCCAGGAAAGGCTGCCATGAGGTGTACTGTATTTTTAAAAGATGGCCCCTATGATATATGCCATCTTACATGCTCATTTTGACACCCCTGCTGACAAGTAGAGGTATATGTCCCCTTTCCTTGAATTTGGTTGGGATTCGATGACTGCTTTGATGAGCAGGAGTCACTATGTGACTTCCAAAGCCAGGTCAGAAAAATGCCATACACTTCCACCCTATTTTCTTGGAGCTCTTGCTCTTGGAACCCAGCAGTCATGCTGTAGGCAGCCCAGGTCACTTGGAGAGGCCACATGTGGGTGTTCTGGCCAGCAGCTCCCACTGGGTCCTAGCTGACCACCAGCATCAGCCAGACCAGCCATGTGAGTGAAGAGATGGTCCAGATGACTGGCCCAGCCAGCATCTGACTGCAATTTCATGAAGGACCCTAAGTGAGAACCACCAGGATGAGCCCAGCCAGCCCCCAGAATTGGGACACATGATAATAAAATGATTGTACAGTTCACTTTCGAATAAGGCTGGGATTAGAGGCGCTGACACCCTGTGCAGTTGAAAATTTGTAGAGGCTCCTGGGTGGCTCAGTCGGTTGAGAGTCCAACTTCGGCTCAGGTCATGATCTTGCGGTCTGTGAGTTCGAGCCCCACGTCAGGCTCTGTGCTGACAGCTCAGAGCCTGGAGCCTGCTTCCGATTCTGTGTCTCCCTCTCTCTCTCTGCCCTTCCCCCACTCATGGTCTGTCTCTCTCTGTCAAAAATAAGATAAACATTAAAAAAAATTAAAAAAAAAAAAAGAAAGTATGTAAAGGTTTGACTCCCCCCAAACTTAACTACTAATAGCTTACTGTTGACCAGAAGCCTTACCAATAACATAACGGGTTGATTAACACATATTGTGTATGTTGTATGTATCATACAAGAAAGGAAGCTAGAGAAAAGGAAAGGTTATTGAGAAAATCATAAGGAAGAGAAAATACATGAACAGTATCGTACTGTATTTATTGGAAAAATCGGTGTATAAGTGGACCCGTGCTATTCAAGTCCGTGTTGTTCAAAGGTCAAGTGTTTTAAGCCACTAAGATTTGAGGGGATTGGTTACAGAGCAATAGGTCACCAGAACACTCACGGGTGATGATAAGGGACAACCTTTGCCTCTCAGGCTTCTCTGCTATGGGAAAACGCAAGTACACTCCTCCCTCCCAAACTTTCCTTCTTAGATTCTGGAACTTTGTCATATCTGGGTGATTCAATCTTTCAAAGCAGGACTTGAAAGCGGGAATTCCAGTTTTCAAAAGCAGGAAGACTACTCTCTTACTCACTTTCCCAAGGAAGTTATTCTCTCGGGCATTTCGACCAAGAGAGGCAGTTACGATGTCCTGGAAAGATCATGACTCAAATGTCAGGTAGACCCAGTCTTCGTCTGTTCAGGATGACAGAACAAAATACCAGAGGCTGGGTGCTATAAACAATAAACATGTATTTCTCATAGCTCTGAAGGCTGGAAGTCCCAGATCATGATGCAGGTAGGTCTGGTATCTGATGAGAGCCCACCTTCTGGTTCATAGCCAGTGCCTTCTGGCTGTAACCTCACATGGCAGCAGGGAGACTGGTTCTCTGGGGTCTCTTGCATAAGGGCACCAGTCCCAATCGTGTGGGCTCTGCCCTCACGACCTAAGAATTTCCTCCAAGGTCCCACCTCCTAATATCCTACACTGGGGGGCACACAAACATTCAGACCATAGCACCCAGGTACAAATTCCAATTCTGCCACCTCCTGGCACGCTGTCCTCAAGTCAGTCACTTTACTTTGTGCTTCAGGATCCTCAGCTGCAAAATAGGAAGGCCGATACCTACCTTACTGGATCAGTATGTCAGTTCGAGATTCTTTATAACCAGTCTTGCTCTGAAAAAGGATTTGAGACAGACGATGGAGATGATGTATGTAAACTGTCTTGCATTAGCAATAACTCATATTTGTCAAATGCTAAGTGCCGGGCACAGTTTTAAGCACTTTGCCCATATCGACTTATTTGATAGTTATAACAATGCAGTGAGTGAAATATTACTGTTGTGTGCATTTTACAGATGGGGAGCCCCAGGCACAGAGCGACTAAGTAACTCTCCCAAGGATGCAGTTAGTAGGTAGTGGAGCAGGACTTTGTACCCAGGAAATTTGACCTTAGGGCCCACTATGCCATACTGTCTCTTGGTAAATGGTTAACTCTGGGTCAGAGGCCCTGCTGGCACAAATGTCTGGCACATCCCCTTCCTGAAAGACCCTTCAGAAGAGGTCCAGGGCTTGGACCAAAGTGATACCAGTGGTGGGATTCCTGATCCCGAGATGTACTAGCGTGGGAGACACAGTAAGGGTGAAAATCACGTCGAGGGCCCCCCAACTGCTGTGGGGGAGAGTGACAACCAGAACACAAAGAAACAGCTAAGAGGACATTTTGAAACATCAGGACAGTAACATCCATCTAGAGACCTCAGGGGCTGAGTCATCCGGGAGAGAGGCAGCCACGGGGAAGCCACTGAGACTTGCCCTTTTACTTCAGCCAGGGGACCCTCGAGTGAGTCATCTACCCTCGCCCCTCAAGTGGTGATACATTGTGCACTGTCCTAAATGAGAGTAGGTGCACAAAGTGCTCCATCACCAGAAATGGAAGCTGCCACTTTGCTTTCTAGCTAGCAGGGGATGGAATCCTTTAAGCTTCCTTACAAAAAATATAACTGTTTTGCAGGGAAACAACTAAAAACGAATAAGGTGCTTCCTGAACTTCTTAAACAGTCATTCGAGCACCATTTAACTTTTCTTCGTGATTCAGGGTTAATCATTATGAACATCATTTCTGTACTGAGATGTAACGTGACACTGGGTCAGAGGGCACTGCTTTGCCTAGGTGTGGCTCCGTGCCTTGAGCCGGATGGCCCCAGGCTGCGGGGCTTGAGTATAGTTGATCAGTCTCATCCCTCACTAAGGCTGCCAGCTGTCACTTCTCAGTGCCATCAGGATGTCAGCCCAGAGCAGTTTAACGATACTTTGATTTGTTACTCCTAATCTGTTGTGCATTTACTAACCAGATGCCTGCATTAGTTAGAAATGTTCATAAAAGCAGGGATTCCTGAGTATGAATCATGGATTTCAACAGCTCCAGGTGGGGGAGGTGTTACTGTTGCTGGTGACCTGTCACTGACCCTCTTTTATTTAGTTTTAAAATTCTTGTTTTTTCCATAGAACTGTTTCTCTTCCTTCTAGCAATGGGTGTTTATTGTCACTCACAGTAACTTCAGGGCCACTACTGCTTCTATAATAGCCCGCCCCCATGCAACCTTGACTCGCCTCCTGACAAGCATTTTCTAAGTGCCCCTGGACGGCCAGTGCCTGGGCAGGCATTCCGCAGTGGGCACCGCTAGGGCAGCCCAAGCCATGGCCCTGCCTTCTGGGAGCTCGCAGTCTGACTCAGGAGGCCAGGTCAACACACAGGAGCCGTTAGGGAACACACAGGAAGGCCAGAAGCAGGGTAGAGGCTGGCAGGCTGTGGCCCCATGTGGCCAGTATATTAGTGCAATAGGTAGTCAGGAAGGCTGCCAGGAGTTTCAGGAAAGGCTATGGGGAGACCAGCGGTGACACATGCTGGATGGCTAATGCTAATTCTCAGGTTCCAAAGAATGCTGGCAGGTAGGAGGTGCAGGCCTCCCAAGATCCCCTAAGAGAAATGAGGCATGGCTAGTTTGGGAAGTGTGGTTGGAGCCCTTCAGGATTATTGGCCGATGGAAAAACTGTGGGCCTTCCTTCAAAAGATTTGGGGTTGGGGCTGGGGTGAGGAGAACACCAGGAGACAAAGAGCAAGAAGGGTGGGTGCAGACAGGAGGTCAGAGTCCAGGCTGGGAGAGCCCAGTGTGAGCCCCAGTGGCATAGGGGCTAGGAGGGGGGCAGGCAGTATCTGCCCCTGGGGAAGGGTGCCTGAGCTCTCCAGCATCCCTGGGAGGCCGGCCAGGCGGAGCTCAGACAGAGCTAGTTCAAAGCCCAAGGGAGCCTGCCCACTGGTTCTCCGGGGTTCTGGCTATGGTGCTGTGTCTCTCCAGCCTGTTGTGACAGGCGATCATCAAAGTGAAATGGAGACAGGAAGCCTCACATTTGACCACCTTGAAGTTGGTTTCAGGCGATATTAACTGAGAACGCACAAAATCTCTCCCCCACACACCCCTTGCACACACAAAACAAAAGAAGGTTTTCAGATTTACTACGGGTCCGGAGCTCACTTGCACATGCGCGGGAAGGGCCGGCAGGCCGTTTTTCCCCACTCCCCGCACCAGCAAAGCAGGTTGGTTTGAGGGCAGAGATGTCCCAGGAAATACGGTACGAAACGTCCCAAGAAAGGCCCTTGGAAGGGTTGCAGAGGTGCAGAGGTGCCTTGTGGGCCCCCTGACTTTGTTGGCAGTCAGATAATCATGCCCATCCCGAGGCTGGCCTTGCCCGGACATGCCCGGCTCGCAGCCCCGTAGAGCTCTGAGGGCCTACCAGACACATACCACACTTGCGGGGCAGGGTCCCCGCAGGGGTTCGGCCCTTTGCTCCAGAGACCTTAGGAGTGGAAGCAGGGGCGGCTGTGCCGGCACTGCACCCCTCACGCCCTTCACCTTCTCCTAAATCCTCTGGGTAGACCGTCGCACTTCCACTTTGTTCGGATGAGGCCACCCAGGCCCCGAATGGTGCAGCCATTCCTCCAGGGTCACACGGCTGCTAAGTGGCTAAGCACCGACCCACTGCTGCTTTCAGGCCCCACATGACACGCAGAGGCGGCCCGGGGTGGCATGGGGGGAGGGGCACGAATCTCACCAGTTTGGAAATACACAGAAACTCCTGTGTTCCACGAGGCGACAAGATATAAAGGCCTCTGGTCATCCCACGCGTCCCCAGCTGGGCGCCATACAGGGAAGGCCCCCTCCCCAGGGTCCCTGCCGGCCAAGCCGGCCCCTTCCCAGAGGGAGGCGCCCCGGTGGCGGAAGCGCCGAGAATTCCGCGGGCGCGGGTGCGCGGGCCGGCAGGGGCCCCCACCGCGCGGCCGGAACGGGAACTGCGGCAGCGCGTCGCTCGCCCGCCCGCCCGCCCCCTACCCGGTCCTGCGAGGCCTTTCCACCTCGGCACAGGCCTGGCCTTCGCGGAGCATCACCGGCTGCAGCGAATCAGGCTTCCTTCCCGCGGCAGCCCGCAGTCAAGTGTCAGAATGGGCAGCACAGTGACGGATGCCAAATAGGAGCAGTGACAGGAGAGGAATGTTTGGAGAATGACACCAGAGATCCGGAAAGATCCATCCCTCTGGGACAGGAGTCTTACACAGGGAAAGAAGAGAAGAATTCGGGCAAAGGTTGGAGGAGTGAGGCCCCAGGATCCAAGGCAGGGACACCTGCGGGGGAGTTGGGCGGGGGGATGGAGGGGACTTCAGCACCCCACTGAGGAACTGGGACTTTTCTTGGAGATTGTTGTTTCTCAAGGGAAAGTGGGGTGGCACCCCTGCTTCCAGAGGCATTTGATGATGCGCAAGGAAATCCAGAAGTCATGAAATAAACGTGACTTAGCTTTCTTGAGTTTGCAGGAGAGCACATAAATAATGGATATTTTACGGAACCTGTAATGCAAAATCCCCATGCACTTAAAGCTGAAATAGACTTCCATTCTGTTTGACTGTGGCGGGCTACTTCAGGATGTGTCCTCAGGCCCGGGGACACCATTCTGCCCACTGTGCCCTGACAGCGTGTCTGTGCAAGTGCAGGCAAAGCCCTGGGAAGTCTTGGGGGGAGAGGGGGTTGGGAAGGTTTTCTGGGCAGGAGAGGAGGTCACGTGGCATTTCACAAAGCTCACTCCTGCTGCGCCAGTAGGGGGAACGGATGGCGCAGGGGCCTGGGGCCAGAGAGAAAGAGTCCTCAGGTCTGATTCCCTGGAGAGCATCTCAGTGCTTTGCAAAAATTATCTCTAAGTCCTACCACAACTGGAAAGGGGGATTCTATTCGTTTTACAGTTTTACGGAGGAAGAAACTAAAGCTGAGAAGGACAAAGAGAACTTCCCAAGGTCATGCAGCTAGTAAGTGGCTGTCTCAGAACCATAGCAGCCAGACTCCAGAAATCCCGTTGCCCAGGCCCGAAGTATCACTACTGACCATCTCCTCCTCCCTGGAAATCTCAATCAACACTGTTGTGGGGTCAACCTCAGAGGTGAGGAATGCTGTGAACACACCCCAAAATCTTGTGCCTAATGTGTCCCCTTTGGTAGTTCTTCTAGTTTTCTGAAGTCCCCATCACTAGAGATTTCTCTGAGGAGGAAGGTATGGCAGGCCACTGTCTACTATGTGGAAAGAGTGATCATTAAATCTGGGGAAGCTCAGGGTTTGAGGAGGTGGCCAGGAACTTCAGAGGGAGCAGAGAGCAGAGTGCCCGTGCCAGAGCCCTCTGAGCAATGCTTCTGGGTGGCAAGGGTTGGCTCGGGGACAGTTCTGTTTCTAGGAATAAGCAAGAAATCCTTCTCAACTTTCTTGTTTTAGAGGAAAGAGTGTCCCCTGCTTCTGCTCAGTGTCCAGGAGTATCCCAAACAGAAGGTAGGGCCCTCTGACAATGTCAGCCACCAGACCAGGCTCTAAGAAGTGGCCAAGCTCCAAGAGGATGGGTGAGAAACACTCTGAAAAGTGCTCAACCAACCGCTGATGTCTCCCCGGAAGGCTTGCCTTCCTGCCTGGGTTGGGCCTTTGGGTCAGGATCTCACCAGGCACAGTGACCATTTGGGGACATTTCCTCTTGTCTCCTGTATACAGATCATCATGGGAGCATGCGCCTCCCCCATCTCAGGGCTATGTGTTCTTTGGCTAGCAAAGAAAGGGGAACCCAAACATCAAGGCTGGCCATTAATAAAAATGTTATGTTGTAGACTTGTACCAAGGCCCTGGCTCAAGTGTTCATATTCTTTTTTTCCAATATTTATTTATTTTGAGAGAGAGAGAGCACGCGTGCACATGACCATGCACCCACTCAAGGGAGGGGCAGAAGGAGAGGGAAAGAGAGAATTCCAAGCAGGGTCCCCGCTGCCAGGATGGAGCTTGACATGGGGCTGGATCCCACGAACCGTGAGATCATGACCTCAGCTGAAGTCAGGAATCTGACGCTTAACCGGCTGAGCCACCCAGGCTCCCCTCATGTATC